ACCCTGTCTCTACCAAAAATGCAAAATTATCTGGGCGTGGTGGCAGGCGCCTATAATCCCAGCTACTCCAGAGGCAGGAGAATCGCTTGAACCTGGGAAGAGGAGGTTGCAGTGAGCTGAGATCATGCCACTGCACTCCGGCCTGGGAGAAAGGAGCAAAATTCCGTCTCAAAAAAAAAAAAAGCATAGTACTTAATAGGCAGTTTTTTTCTTCTTTTTTGTAGTGACAAGGTCTCACTGGTTTTAAACTCTGAGCTCAAGTGATCCTCCCACCTCAGCCTCCCAAAGTGCTAGGATTCCACAGTTGGTGTTTGTTTGTTTGTTTTTGTTTTTCAGACAGGGTCTCACTCTGTCGTCCAGGCTGGAGTGCAGTGGCATGATCTCAGCTCACTGCAACCTCCGCCCCCTGGGCTCAAGGGGTTCTCCTGCCTCAGTCTCCCAAGTAGCTGGGATTACAGGCATGCACCACCATACCCCACTAGTTTTTTTATTTTTAGTAGTGATGGGGTTTCATCACTACTGTTGGCCAGGTGGGTCTCAAACTCCTGACCTCAAGTGATTCACCTGCCTTGGCCTCCCAAAGTGCTGGGATTACAGCTGTGAGCCATGGCGCCTGGCCAGATTCCATAGTTCCGTAATCCTTGCCCTCCTCCCACCTTCCACCCTCTAGCAGGCCCCAATGTCTGTCGTCCCCTTCTTCGTGTTCATATGCACTCAGTGTTTATTTAGCTCCCACTCGTAAGGGACAACGTGCAGTATTTTTTTTTCTGTTCCTGTGTTAGTTTGCTAGGAAACAAGGGTTTTATGCATGTGTGTTTGGTGTGTGATTGTGTACTCCTGTGCATCTGTGATGGTGTGTGTGAATGTATGCATTTTTGTCTGTTGTGTCTGTGTGTATATTTGTATATCTGGGTTTATGTGTGTTTGTATTTGTGTATGTTGTGTCTGTGTGTGTGTTTGTGTATCTGTTTTGTGTTTGTGAATATGTATATTTGTGTATGTTGTATATGTGTATTTGTATGTCTGTGTTTGTGGATGTGTGTGTGTGTTTGTGTATATGTAAAAGACTGTCACCTGAACCCAGGAGTCAGAGGTTGCAGTGAGCCGAGATTGTGCCACTGCACTCTAGCCTGGCAACAGAGAGAGATTCCCTCTCAAAAAAAAAAAAAAAAGTACTTGATATCTTCTGTACTGCAAGGGCTTAAAAAGAAATAATTACTTGGTGATTATCAGAAATAACTTACGTATTTTTAAAGATATTTAAAAATCAAATTTTTTTCCAGACTTTACACGTTTTTAAAATCTCCTTCTGCCTCCTACCAAGGCTGCCTCTTCTCTTCAGAAATGTATCCCATGAAGGACATCTTATTTAAAATGTATGTTTGATTTCTCTTCCCCTGACAGTGTGGCACTGACAAGATACATTATATGAATGATGTGATGGCGAATGGACTTGAAGTCAGCCTGCTTCTCAAATGGAGTTTTGGGGAAAATAAAGGATTCCTTTCAGAGTCATGGGGAGAAAGTAGTTGTAAAAGTGTCCCAGTGGCTGGGCACAGTGGCTCATGCCTGTAATCCCAACATTTTAGGGGGCCAAGGCAGGAGGATCGCTTGAGCCCAGGAGCTCAAGACCAGCCTGAGCTAGTCACTACAGGGCAATGTAGTGAGACCCCGTCTCTTAAAAAAAAAAAAAAAGAAAGAAAAAGAAAAAGTGCCCAAGCAATTAGGAGTCCTCTCAATTCAGCAAATAAACATTTTGCAGCTCCTTTCAAGGATTTCCCAGCCCCCCGCATCTTCCTCTCCAGCCTCCTCCCTGCTACCTGGACCTCAGCCTGACCCCATCTACCCCACCCTTTGATCTGAGGAGCCCTTGCATTTTTTGGCCTGATTGGGATTATTTTATTTAGCATTTGGTCACCTTTGTACGATAACCATCCACCTTCTCCACCTTCTGACATCTGGAGCACACCTATGTTTCCTAAACACATGCATTCACACTTTCTTTCATTCATCAAAATTTATTCATTCATCCAAACGTGCTTATCAACTATATACCAGGCATTGTGCTAAGTGAGGCAAAAATTAAAAGCAGAATGCAGTCTTGGCCCTGCATCAAGAAGGTAGCGTGTCGGGAAATCATTAAAGTTCTACGTGATAAATCAGGTAAGAGAGGAAGTCCAAAGTGCTATCTTATCTTTATTCGTCAGTGATTCGTTCAACAAATCTTTATTGAGTTCATACTAAATATATCAGGTCCTGTTCTAGATATTGGAGTGACAAAGGTGAGGAAAAGAGATCAATTCCTACTCTCACAAAACTTACATTCTGAGGAGGGAAGACCAATGATAAGCAACAAAATACGCACATCTATATAATAATTTCAGCTGTGATAGGTGCTCTGAAGATAATAAGACGGGGTAATATCATAGAGAGTTTGGTTCCAAATACCAAGACTTTGCCAGTCCTAGTAATGCTATCCTCTCATGATTGACTGGTTCAGGAATAGGCTTATGACTCAATGGAGGCAGGCAGCCAGGAGACCTTTGGACAAAGGTTGTCTCTCTGGGGAGGTGATGCTTAACAGGACAGAGAAGATCTGTGGGAAGGCCACTCGGAGCAAAGAGGAAAGCAAATGCAAAGTTCCAAGCAGGGGGAGCAAGTCTGGAGAGTTGAAAGAACAGTCAGAAAGCCAAGGACTGGGCTGGGCTACCGCACCCGGTTGGCAGTCTTAAGAAACATCAATCCACAAGTTTATCTTTGCCATGTTTGTTGAATTGCTCAAATAATTTTTATTTTTTTAGAGATAGGATCTTTCTCTGTTACCCAGGCTGGAGTGCAGTGGTGTCACAGCTTACTGCAGCCTCACACTTCTGGGCTCAAGCAATCCTCCTGCCTCAGCCTCCCAAGTAGCTGGAACTACAGGTGCACGCCACCATGCCTAGCTAGTTTTTATTTTTTGTAGAGATAAGGTCTTGCTTTGTTGCCCAGGCTGGCCTTGAACTCTTGGCCTTAAGTGATCCTCCCCACTCAGCCTCCCAAAGTGCTGGGATCACAGGCATGAGTTACTGTGCCTGGCCTCAAATAGTTTAAGTAGATGTGGCAGGCTTGATTTTCTCAGGCCATCTATTTCTGAGTAGGTTACACTTGGCTAGATGTTCAATGACCTGTTCATTATTACAATTCTATAGACTAGCCAGGTATGGAGGTGATACACTGGCCTGCATTTCCAGGTGACTTGTCAACTAAAGTCAATATTTATGGAGTGCTACTGTGAGCAAGACTTGGACAAAAAGCATTGAGGGGGATTTTCCCTCCAGGTGCTTACCATGTGTTGGAGAGAAATATGTAGATAAGCCATCAGAACAAACACTGATTGAGTGTAAACAATAAGAAATCATATTGTTTTTCCTATTTTATTTTATTTTATTTATTTTTTTTTTTTGAGACGGAGTTTCGCTCTTGTTACCCAGGCTGGAGTGCAACAGCGTGATCTCGGCTCACCGCAACCTCCGCCTCCCGGGTTGAGGCAATTCTCCTGCCCCAGCCTCCTGAGTCGCTGGGATTACAGGCACGCGCCACCATGCCCAGCTAATTTTTTGTATTTTTAGTAGAGACGGGGTTTCACCATGTTGACCAGGATGGTCTCGATCTCTTGACCTCGTGATCCACCCGCCTCGGCCTCCCAAAGTGCTGGGATTACAGGCTTGAGCCACCGCGCCCGGCGTTTTTCCTATTTTATATATAAGGAAACTGAGGCCCTGTGTTCCTCCCCTTGAGGTGCTCATGGAGTAGGAGGGGAAGCTGACAGCTAAGTACATTAATTGCGATACCAAATAATAAGGGGCTTGGGGGTATCAAGGGGTAGATTAACTCTTTGTAGGTGACTTACTGGTAAGAAAGCCTTCTTTGGAGAGGTGACACACAAGCTGGGTTTTGAAAAATGAAGATGGTCGCTGAGCACAGTGGCTAATGCCTGTAATACTTTGGGAGGCTGAGGTGGAAGGATCATGAGGTCAGGAGTTCAAGACCAGTCTGGCCAACATAGTGAAACCTTATCTCTACCAAAAACACACAAAAGATTAGGCAGGTGTAGTGGCCCATGCCTGTAGTCCCTGCTACTCGGGAAGCTGAGGCAGGAGAATCGAGTGAACCAGGAGGCAGAGAAGTTGCAGTGAGCCGAGATTGCGCCGTTGCACTCCAGCCAGGGCAACAGTAGGAGACTCTGTCTAAAAAAAAAAAAATAAAGAAAGAAAAGAAAAATGAATGAAGATGGTTTGCAAGGCCAATGGTTGTGGGGTGGAAAGCCAAGAGTCAGAACTTGGGCAGAAGGCATTCCAGTTGGAGGGCACAGCAAGTGCAAAGACAAGGTGGAGTGGAACGGGATGGCGTGTTGCAGGGATCGGGAGCTCAGTGGGGCTGCGGCAGTGCTAGTGGGTAGCAGCTGGAGGGGAGGCTGGAGAGTGAGCAGCTGCCATGTCTTGAAGGGGACTCCCCTCCACCACCCGCCACTTCTCATCCCCTGGGCAAATCCTGCTGTGCTAAGTTTACACTTTTCTCTGGGGCAGTGGTAAGGGCTGTAATTCATCCATTAGAATATTGTGAAATCAGTTAGCAGGTCAAAAAGGAATCCAATGGGACAGACTAGACTGGAATAAAATAAAGATGCTGGCTGGGCACATGGCTCAGGCCTGTAATCCCAGCACTTTGGGAGGCCGAGGTGGGCGGATCACGAGGTCAAGAGATCGAGAGCATCCTGGCCAATATGGTGAAACCCTGTCTCTCCTAA